GAATGACCGTTCCTTTAATGGCTTAGCCGGCTGCTATCAACGCTTCATCAAGGGATATTCGAAGATTGCGGCCCATTTATCCAAAAGCTTCAATGCGAGGGTTGACTGTTTGATCTCGACGACAATGCACGGGGTTCCTTTTTGGCCCTCAGGGCCGCGTTGCTATCCATGGAGGTCTTGCACATTTATGATCCGCTCTTGTCGACACGCATCACTATTGATGCGTTCGGCTATGGCATTGGTGTCGTCCTCGAGCAACATAATGGCGTGGGCTGGCACCCGATCAAGTACTTCAACAAAAAAGTGTTCGTCGTGCACTCGATTGACAACAAATAGGAGTTATTGGCCTTCGTACACGCGCTCAAGCGCTGGTGGCATTTTCTTCCCAGTCGAGATGAATTTTGATGGGTAACGGACAACAATCCGTTGGTCTTATACAAGTCCCAAGACACGGTCTACTCGACCTTCGAGATTGACGGTGACTTGCGGGACAACTTCATCCGCGGCTACCAAGCCGACCCCGAGTTTCGTGACAAGTATGCAAATTGTTCCTCCCCCAGTCTGACACCATTGCGCTATTGGATCCAAGAGGGATACTTGCTCGTCCACTTGTGGGGGAAGGATCTTCTTTGCATGTCGAGGGATTCACATTTGCGCATGCGGCTTCTTGGCGAGGTTCACGACGTTCCCGCCACCCGACGTTTTGGAATCAATCGTACGACTGGCTGACTTCGCGAGCACTTGTGGTGGCCCGGTCTTCTTGACGACGGCACACGCTATTGCGAGTCATGCGAGGTTTGCCAACGTTGAAAACCCCGCAATCATTGTTCGTACGACGAGTTGCGACCATTACCGGTCCCCTTGCGTCGAAGGGAAGTGATTGCCATGGACATTACCGGGCCGTTCCCCAGGCACAAGACTGGTATGGATGGGATTCTTGCGGTGGTCGACCGGCTCACCAAGCTTGCCATGTTTTTGCCTTGCCGCTATCAAGCCAGGGCATCGGAGTTGGCCGAGGTTCTTTATGCCGATTGAAATCAAACCAAGGGTTACCCCAAGGAAATCATTTGCGACCGCGACATTCTGCTCATGTTCGATTTTTGGTTGGCACTCATCAAACGATGGGGCTGATCTCTCAAGCCGAGTTCGGCTCGCAACCCTCAAATCGATGGCCAAACGGAGAGGGTGCATCAGACGACACAAGTTCTCCTTTGCACTCTCATTCGCGGTCTCCTTTGCACTCTCATCCATCCCGACCAAAAGGATTGGGTTGAGCGGTTGCCAGATGTCGAGTTGGCATACAACTCGTCGATTCATCCGGCTATTGGGATGTCGCCCTTCGAGTTCAAGCATGGCTCAACGATCACTTGTCCGTTGGACACGATTATTCCACAGGTCGAGAGCGACGACCATCTCCTCTTCGTTCGTCGGATGCAAGAGCTTCTTGTCAAGGCACGGGACCAAATGTCAAAAACACAGCAACGTTTTGGCCAACAGGCCAACCGCCAGCATCTTCCTTGTCCGTTACCATGTATGGGTCTCCGCTGCGGAGTTCAGCGTTGAACAAGATATCTCTTGCAAACTCCTTTCGAAATGGATGGGGCCTTGGCCCATTGTGGCACCCGTTGGGGATGCACCTGAAGGACCATTTGCCATTCAGGTGCTCGCCCACTTGCCCGTCTACCGGGTCTTCCATTGTTCTAAGTTAGCGCTGTTCACTCCAGTGGAACACGATGATTTTCCCGAGTGATGATTGCAAGACCCACCCTCTATGGACGGTTTCCAAGAGTTTGGCAACATCATTTCCAAGCGACGCTACGACAATAGGCCGTGGGAGTAGTTGGTACATTTCGCCTATTGTAGCCATAAGGCTGACCAATGGTTGACCCGTGCGAAACTTCAGGCAACATCGTCATATGTTCTCACACGTTACGAACCCAAGTTACAAGGCAAGCCTGTACCTTCGGCTCCACGTTGTGCCCGCGTCCAGGTTCCACCTTCGGATCATCAGCTTCGCCCTCAACCGGCTTGACTTCATAAGGGAGGGGGGGGGATTACATGTTGAGCCTGCACACGGGCCCCATTCCCGGGGCCTGACGGTTGCTGAGCTCCAGGCTGCATGCCCATCGGACACATGCCCTGGAGGCCCACGACGGCCCCTAGGCCGCAGGTTTCGATTACAGGCATTATTCATTTATTTATTTGCTGTCCTATTTTTGTCTGTGCAGATTTTGTTTCAGACTTGCAGGCCCCAAGGCTACGCCTTGAGGTGGGTACATAGGGGCGAGGCCGTTTTTAGGCCAGGCGCATTTTGGCACCTTGCTACATCAGCAGCACGGTCTGGATGCCCGGTAGGGGCCCAGACTGAGTAGACCGTTTTGGGCCAGGATCAGACTCGCGCCCAGCCAGGCCCAGTGCTATTTATAGCTGGGCTGAGGCTGGGCACACAGACACAGTTCGAGTACCTCACTTCTTGGGCGACACGCTGCTGGACCAGCACCGCACGCGACAGCGCTGCGGTGTGTTAGAGTAGAGGCGTAGGTAGACAGAGGGGCAGAGGCCTTGCCTCACCTGGCGCCATAGGTGGGGCTCCACACCAGCGACCTGCGCACGTGACGATGAGGGCGCAGTCAGAACCAGGCCACTACCTGCAGGTGAGACAGCGAGGAGGACGACATCTTCTCCTTCCTCGCCCTCCAGATCCGCTCCCTCCTACCTCTTTTTCTTCTTCGTCTTCTTCGGAGAGAGAGAGAGAGAGAGAGAGAGAGAGAGAGAGAGAGGGACAGATTGCTGGCAGAGGTTCCACAGGCATACACCCAAGATCTGATTCAACAATTTTTGCGGCAGACATTGATTGGACTCTCGGCAAGGGCCTATTTTTTGGACTTCGCTATCACGATCTTGGTCTTCTCCAGCGCCTCCATCTTCGTCTTGCCTCCCCCATCTCTCGTTCGTGGTATCTCCCCCCATGTGCGCGTGCAAGGAGGGACCGTTCTTCCGTGTATGAGGTCCCTCCTCCCTCACTCACATGTGTGGTGTATGATGGGGTGTCGCGTCAGTATCTGACAGGTCAGGTCATATCTTTGAGTCTTCCGCTGTGCTACACTGTGCTATGTTCATATGTATCTGGATGTACATTGCTTGTTGATGGTTGGCTAACACTGCATTGTCCATACGAGTCCTTTTCATCACTTTGCGGATCCTTGGCTCCCATACATTGCCTGATTGGGCATGTATCAAGCAAGTTGCCTTCTGCCCTCCATCTCCTTACTGTGCCGCTTTGGTGGCAGACGAGTGTGTGGGCACTTGGCGCTGAACCACACAAACATGGCCAACCTTGCATTTTCTATTATATTGCCTATCTATCATTTTTAGTATGGATGGCTTGTGATGATTTGTGAAGGGAATGAGAGAGAGAATCTGGGGTGTCTTAAAACAACACGCACACACACGTGCACAAGAGAAAGACAGGCATGAGAATCTGTCAAAACCCACGCATGCGGGCAGTTCTCGTGGATGTAAGTTTTGCCTTCCACATCTCCGCGCTCTCCTTTGCACACCTCACTTCTTTCCAGTTGGGTTACATCCTGTTAGCGAATCGTCTACCGGTAGGGTCTTCCTTGCTGCATCAGTTTTGACCGCCATCAGCCCAAAAATAGTGGTCAGGAGGGTCAGTGTTAGGCCTTATGGTCCACCCTCTCAGGAGAGAGGGGGAATGAAGAGCGAGAGTGCATAAGAGAGGGGGGGGGGACACATCTAGATGTGTATAAGAGACAGGCCACG